CCTGCGGCCCGCCCAGTGATGGTGCAGGCAGCACGGCCATGGCCCTCTGTGGAGTACCATGGGACCAGCAGCTGCCTTCCCCCCTTGCCACCACTCCACCAAGGTCTCTGAGAAGGGGTGCAGGCTGCCAGTGTGGGAGGTGTCATCCTCACACCAGCTCTCCTCCTGGCTGGGGGCTCCTTGCCCAGCGTCCTACCACAGCAGGCTCCAGCTGTGCCACCGGCCACCCTCGCTCTCAGGAAGCTGCGATGAGGCTGAAACATGGAAAAGATGAGCCGCTGTGGGACCCATCTGTCACTGCTCCCCTTAACTGTGTGCTGTCTCTCTCTCTTTCTCCCCCCTCTTTGCCTTCTGGTGCCTCCAGTCCCTGGGGACCCTCTCCCCGTACTCACAGGTAAATACCCTGGTGGGCACTGGGGGGCTCTGTCACCTGCTGCCACCACAGGGCCTGTCTCTGGCCAGGGACCTCTGGGACTGTCCTGAGGATCGTCCTGCCTAGGTGCTGCCCCAAGGTTGGGGGAGACAGCAGGACCCCATGCGGGAGGATCCTTGTCCTTTGGGCCCCAGGAAGAGCAGTCTGTAAGCCGTCCCTGGCAGAGTGCACCCAGAGTGTAGCTTCTGCCCCACAGAGCGGGAGGATGCCAGTAACTGGGAACAAGCACAGGGGAAAGGGGCAGTTTCAAGGCAAGAGGGTAAAAGCCTCTGGCTGGATGCTGTCACTCGATCTCAAACTCTGGGCTTCGCTGCCTCCACTTTGGCAGTAGGGAGGTGGAGTGGCCTGAGGACACCCTCCAGCTGCAGAGGACACTGTCCGATGTGTCACCCCACAGAGCATGCACCCACCCAGGCTGCCACAAGCACAGGGACCCCTGTCCATGGGACACCTACCCACAGGGCTGCCGAGGCAGTGACCTACCTCGTCCCTCATCCCAACAGCTCTAACCCAACTTCTCTCACACTTTTCCCCATCCCCAGGACATCTATGAGAGCTTTGACACACGGCAGAGGCGAGCCTCCAGCCCTGGGTACATCGACTCGCCCACCTACAGCCGTCAGGGAATGTCCCCCACCATGCCGAGGTCCCCCCACCATTTCTACCGCTCAGGTGAGGATTTCAGCTGCAAACACAGGCTGGGCTAAGCTTAGATCCCCAAATGGAGTGGGGATCACCAAACTGTCCCCTGCTTCTCCCAGAGGACCTTGGTGGTCCCTCCTGTGGCAAGCAGGCAGGAGGCCTGGGGAGATCTGTGCGGGGCTGACAGCAACAGGAGCTGTGAGGCAGTGAGCACATGTGCAGACTGGTTCCTTTTCCTCTTGTCTTGCAAGCAGCAAGGAGAAGCTGAGAGGGCTTTGTTCTGGCTCAGACCTGAACTGGGGCTCACGATGGATGGGATGGGGAATGAGGTGACCCTCAGGTTCAGTGAAGACCCTTCAGCTGGCTTGTTAGCTCCAGGAGGGGTGTGCATGAGAGCGTTTGTGCCCAGCCAGTGCTGTAAGGGGGGTCCTTACACACCCATGTGTGTGCATGCCCTGGAGCATGCTGAGGGGGAAGTAGAGTGTGTCTGTGCCATGTCTCCTCTCCTTTGGAGCCATGGAGGAACGACTGGGAAAAATCTGAGGTCAGTAAGTTCGAAGGTCCCACATTCCCTGAGCTGTCCGCGCGCTGCACTGCCAAGGGCCGGTCACCGTTTGCCTCTGCAGCACTCTCAGCTTTCCTCTCGCCAGCGGCAGGACAGCCCACTGCCCTGTAACTGCACCCGCACGAGGGGTTTCCTCTGCATCCCACCTTCCTCCGGAGATGCAGGAAATCTCCTCCTGCTCCATCACGCCCCATCCTGGACCACGGCCTGGCGCACGTCCCCGTCACTCCTGCCACGTGGGTCACCCCCGGCTCTTCTAACACCACTGCATTTAACACCCATTTTCTTCTGCCTCTTGTTCTCTCTTTCGGTCACTTATGGCTGCTTCTGCTCGGCACCGCGTAGGCACCGAGAGTGGGCTCAGCTCCCCCTACTATAGCCAGTTAGATGTGAGGTCCTCCACTCCAACCTCATACCAAGCACCCA